CTTGCCGATAAAAAATGCACACGTCCGAGCGATGCCAAGAAAATATTCCCAAAATAAAAAAAAAAAAAAAAAAAAAAAAAAAAAGAGAACAAAAATCGCCCCCGGACCATACTCTAACTATTTTCGGCTACTCCTCCTGCAGAGGGACAGGCCCGACTTCACACTCGAGTCGGACAGGAGGATGCCAAAAGGGGTCCCTGGCCCAGGGTGCAGCCCGCTTGTCGCTCCAGACATGCCAAGGGGCACCATGGGACCCTCTGGGCCTGGTATCGTTGTCGCAATGGTGAAACTCTGGGTAATATTACAAGTAGTGTTATGTAGGACTAGAATAACAGTGGAGTAGTAACAATAATCGTGGCAGTGGCAATATACAAGTAGAACTAGAAGTTAGAGGTCAGGAAGATCGTAAGCCACGCGTCGTGGCCCCGAAAACGACCATGGCAGCGAATCTGCCGGGCGCTGGAGACAGCTGCGGAACACCACGGAGGAGGTTTCGAAGCATGGAGCTTGAATGATGCACCAGACCTCGTACGACGCAAAAATAATCAAAAAATACACCAAAAATAATCCAAAAATAATATGGGGATTATTTGTTTAACCTTTTGGGGGCATTTTTGGTGTATGTTTGATGTTTCGTCGAAAATCCCCCCTGTAGGGGGACAGGCCCGACCAGACCTCCTACGACGCCGGATCGGTAATTCGACGCACGGCCCCACTTCTGGGCCTTGTGGCGCACGCGTCCGATGCTTTGCGCCCGTGCCTGGACGGACTGTCGTGCTCGCGGATGCTGGGCAGCTGTTCGAGGCAACGTCGACCAACTCAGTGGCCCAGGCCGCGGGAAAGGCTCTGGCCCGGACCAAGATCGCAACAGGGAGAAGGACGACCACTGCTTTCCGCTCGCCGGAGCGGCGCGCGTTTGTCTGAGGCAGCCATGTGCCAAAGGGGCCATCCACCACCACCTTCTCGCACGCCCAACTGTCAGGGGCGCTGTTGGGCGCCTGCCGAGGAAACGAGTGCCGACTAGGCACGCTCGCTTGCCGCATGCAGGGCCTTCCCATTGGTGGGTATTGCAGCAAAGTCAGTTGCTCAATGGTGTTGGCGGAAGCTGAACACACATATGGGAGGGAAACCAGTCCAGATTGGAGGCGGTTGGATTCGTCCGCCCTGGCTGCACTTGGGAATCGACGGTTGCATCGGCTCGGTATGCGGACGACGTCATTCACATTTCCGGCGAGTTGTGCCGAAAGTGCGTCTTGTTTGCCAACGAGTGCATCTACCCAGTCGACTTCGACGCATCCCAGCCTGGCGCTGCCGCTGTGTGGCTGGATCTGTCTATCAGCAGTGTCGACCTGAGCATCGACTACGCACCCCAGTCATTTGGCACCATCCACCCGCGGGCTACCTCTCGCTGGGCACTCCGCTCCTACGTGTCAGGCCGAATTGCTCGCATGAGGGAGCTCCGGCTGACGCTTCCGCAAATCAGCGCGCACGTGATGAGATTGTGTAACAATTTGGAATAATGTGGCTGGGACCATCCCAGCTTCCGTCACTTGCTATATTCTCTGCAAGGCCTGCCTGCCGATGGGCCCATGGTGGTGTTGAAGATGTGCTTGCGTGCGTATGCCGGGCTTCGTGGGCACGTTCAGGTGCATGTGGTTGTCTTGCTACTCCAATGTGCGCCGCCAGACCACCCAGAATTGCAGAGCATCATAGGGTTGAGATCATGACGCGCATCCAAGTTGCCGACACTAATGCTACTCACGTGTCCCTCCCATGATCTATGGGCGGACTTATTTACACTGTCCAGGGGTGCTGCGCCATGCAGGCCGATTGTGCCTCGCGGGCGAATCGAGACGGGACAACGATATCGATGCCGGATCCGTAGGTTGAGCAGGGACCGACTGTCCAGGCATTTCTATAGGCCTACCACGAAATATTCTTGGAACCCAGAAATGTTCTAAGACCCAACACAATGTTCTTAGAACACCACACAACGTTCTCAGAGCATTCTTTGTTAGGCCTAAGGCGAGCTGGGACGCTTCGCCACTGCTTCAGTAGGTGTCTTGGCTAAGGCCTCTCCGTACAGCTGGCTCGGCGCGTTGCGGCCGGCGCTCAAACGATCTGTTGTCCTCGGGTCGTGCACATGTTGATGGGTGTGTCGAGCCAGGGAAGACGGATCAGTTGCAACGCAGATAGGTAATGCATACTTTCTCGTCAGTTAGAGTTGGCTTCACAGGGCGAAGATGATCCTAGCTGTCGGTGCTGGTGATAAAATGGTCACCTTGGAAGCCTGAATACTACCACCATCACCGAGATCGGGATCCTCTTCCCTTGGTGGAGGCACATCGCCGACATTGGTGTGGGTGTCAACCTCCAGGCCTCCGACATTGGGAGGGCTCCTCCTCCACCCCCTTCCCCAAGGGCGCCTCACTTCGCGCCACGCACTGCGCGAAGGAAGCGAGCGAGCCGCGAGCGCGAGTGTACCTTCCAGAGCTCTCGCGCCACCCTCCCAGGGGAGACGAGGAGGAGGAGGAGGCATCGGAGCCGAAGCGCGAAGCGCGAATAACTTCGCGCCCTCGAGGGCGCCCTTGCCTTGAGTAGGGACTGACCGTCCCGGCATTCCTATAGGCCTACCACGCAATGTTCTTAGAACCCCCAAAAAGCTCTTGGAGCATAAGCCCGATGTGCTCAAACAGGACGGTCTCGGCCAAGCATGTTCTAAGAATACCTCGTGCAGACCACAAAGGGTTCTCAGAACCTTCTCTGGTGGGCCTGCAGGCAAGCCAGGACGCCTCGCCACTGCTCGATCAGGGCTGAACCCAAACGGTGTTTTTCGTTTTCGTTTTGTTTTCGCTTTCCCTCGCTTTTGTCTCCAATCCGCCTCTGCTGCAAAACGAAGCCGAAACGAACACGGCCCACGAGATCACCAAAACAACACCGTGGAGCTCCAGCCCCGTGCTCGACTGCCCCCCCTCCCCCTCCTCCGGGACCGTGGGCGCCGTCGAGGCTCTCCGCTGGTGCCTCGCCGGCCCTCCTCGCTCTCCTGCAGGATCCCCTCCCTCTCGCTGCACGGACACGGGCCGGCCCCGAGGGCCCGCCGACACGGGCCGCCGCGGCGCGCCGGGGCCGAGGAGACGCAGTCCCGGGGGAGGGCCCTCTCCTGGCCCCCCGCCTGCTCCTCCTCCGCGCCGACGCCTCGCCTCGCGAGGGGGCTCGCGCTCGCCGCTTCGCACCGCTGCTCCGGGAGAGCGGCAGCTCCCCGCCCCGCCGCCGCCTCTGCGGTGCAGTGCTTCGCCGATCGGCGCGGGCCCCCGGCTCCCCCCCCTCCCCCTCCATGGACCAAGCCTTGGCTGCTCTTGGCGGCAGCTCCTGGCGACTGGTCAGGGCACCCTCTCCCCCCCGATCTGCCTGCGCGGCTGGCAGGAGCAGATCTGCGAAGCACCGGCCAAAGCCCGAGGAGGAGGAAGAGGAGGAGGAGGCGGAGGAGGAGGCGGAGGACCCCCCTCCCACACCCTTCGGCCCAAGGTCGAGACCCAGAAAACCAAAACAACACGCCGAGCCTCCGCACCCGCTGACTCGCATCGCAAAAGGGCTCATTGGTTCTTTCCTCCGCACTGATGGGGAATCGGTTGTTCTGTGATCGTTTGATTCGAGCAATGATCCGTGAAACCTCGGCTCGCGAGGTTCGGGCGCGGCCTAACCGACCCCTGGCAAACCATCCCCTTCCGTGGCGTCGTCCTCGCCTTGCCAGCTCCCCTCCGGCCGCATGCATACGTCTTGGGGCGAGGCGAGGGGGGCGCCACGGCAGGGGACGGTTTGCCAGGGGTCGTTTGGCCGCCCCTCAGAGGCGGGCACCCCTGCAACAAAAGAGGCGCTCACTCCGCAGACACGCCGGGCGAACCGGGAGCCCGCCCACCATAGGCGGCGAGCCAGGGGGGGAAGTGAGAAGGGGCGTGCTTTCTCAGAAGGCTCGGAAGTCACCCGGACTTCTGAGAAGCGTTCTAGGCCTTCCCCGAAGACAAACAGCAACTTCTCAGAAGGCGCGAGGGCTTCTGAGAAGTCCCGCCGCCTTCCGAGAAGGCCCTCTCCAGCTCAATTCCCCCCCCTCGCTCGCCGCCGACACCGGGACAGGAGCGCGCGGCCTCCCGAGCTGCTGTCTCACGACGGCGCGCATATGAGGGGCCGGTACTCGGAGGGGCGGCCTTCCAAGATATCCGACGTCGTGATTTTTTCAACACGGGGTCCCCGGAAGTCTCGACCCATTCCCCAGGACCGGCTTTTTGCGTCCTGAGTCGTTTTGTTGACGGTCCGGGGGCCCGGCGAGGGCCCCTCGAGGCCGAAAGATGCGAAACACTTCCGTCTTATGTTTTTCAATACGCTGGATCTCTGGGTTGCGAGGGCGCCGGGGTCCCGAGGAGGCCCGGGCGCTCCAGCTTCCGGGCACGGGGGACGTCAGCCGACCGCCTCGCCGATCCTGGCTGAGCCGATCCCTGGCCCCGGGTCGGTGTGCATCTCGGTAGGGACCGACCGCTTCGGCAGTCCCACGGGCCGACCACGTCATGCCCTCAGACCAAAGAGATGTCCGAGTAGCAAAGAGCAATGCTCTCGAAACAAAAAAAGAAGCGGTCCCCGCCAGCAACGTCCCCAAAAACATGTCGTGTAAGCCACAAGGATGTCCTTAGAAGAATCGTTGGTGGGGGCGCGGCCGCAAGAAACCCTCGCAAGAAACGCAGCCCTGAAAACCCGCGCGCGAGGTGAGACTGAGGTGAAATCCGGAGCACCCTGAGCGCAGCCGCTCCTTCCCTGGCTGCAGGAAGCCACCCCGCGGCGCGCAGAGCGAAGAAACCCAGGATACCCTGACGCAAAGCAGATGCTTTCTTGATGCGCGCCCCCACCGTAAGCCTAGATCGGTGAGGTGGTCAGCCGACGTCACCCGACCAGGAGCCCTCTCCGAAGGCCGCCCCACCCGCGCGCCGACCCCTGGCGCGCGCCGCCGAGGC